ACTGCACAGCTTGGTGTCATCTGCAAATACTGAAATGGGATTTTTTAATCCCAGACCCTATATCGTTTATAAATATATTAAAAAGTAAGGGTCCCAACACTGAACCTTGGGGTACACCACTGACAACCCTAGACCATTCAGAGTATGAATCAATAACCACTACTCTTTGAATATAATCTTTTAGCCACCTTACACATTAGCCGTGTGTGGGGAGGTTATTTTGCCACAACTGTCTGCTCCACCCCCTCTTCTTCCTCTTCCTCTATGGCCTCTTCTGCTGAATTGTCCTCTGAACCAGCAGTGCTCTGTAAGCGTTCAAGGGGCTATGCAAGCAGTCAGGCTAAAAGATGCCACAGGGTGCTTCAGCTGGTCTGTCTATCGGACAGGAGCCACCAGGCCAGAGATTGTCAGCTCTGTAGCGGCAGGCTTAGAGGTAGTTGATGCCACAGCAGCTTGAACCAGGAATGGTTGTATGCAACAATGGCACCAACCTTTTCTCCGCTCTCCGACAGGGACACTTGACACATGTTCCATGCTTGGCACATGTCCTGAATTTGGTGGTGCAGCATTTCTTGAACAGGTACCCAGCCTTTAAAGATCTTCTGAGGCAGGGCAGCAAAGTCTGTGGCTTTTTTTGGCGGTCATACACATCCAGTGTTCGGCTGGCTGAAATTCAACGGGAATTCAACCTGCCCAGCGACCAATCATTTGTGACATGCCCACTCAGTGGAACTCAACTTTGGCAATGCTGTAGCTGCTGCACATGCAGCAGAGGGCCATCAATGAGTACATGTGTGAATATGGCACAAGGACAGAGTCAGGGGAGTTTGGCTTCTTTTCACCATGCCAGTGGCTGCTGATAAAGGATGCATGCACTATCCTGTCACCATTTGAGAAGGCCACAAGGATGGTGAGCCATGACACTGCATGCATCAGTGACACTATCCCCCCCTAGTCTTCCTGCTGGAGCACATGCTGCGTGGAATCATGGACAGGGCACTTGAAGTAGAACAGCAAGAGGAAGAAAAGGATTTCCTATCCTCTCAAAGCCCCTTTATGCAGAAAAACCATTCCTGCAGGGCCACAGAAACACACATCAGGAGAAGGAAGTGGAGGAGGAGAAGGATTGCAGCAGCATGGAAGTAGAGAATCACATAGAGCAGTCTTCAAGGGGCAGTTGTCAGTTCTCAGTAAACCCAGCCAGGAGTAGTACGTGGCTGGAAAGAGGACGTTCCTGACAATGTCATCCTCAGTGACCCAGAGGTCTCAGAATATCTTGCCTTTTCAAACATACGCTGCATGTGTTGCACATATGGTTAATAATTCCACTGTGCGAAGGATGGGTCGGGTAAAACCAGAAGTGCTTTATTAGGAACGTTTGTAATAAACACAGAAAACTCTTAATGGCATGAAACCAGATGTTTATTGTAATCACCGTCCTCTATATATTACTAAACATTTCCATATACATTAATAAGTATTTCCATATGCATTAATAAACATCTTTAATCGTGATCCTGAATATATAGACATCTGCAGATATGCTATTAACCTATTCTGCATAACAATAGCGTATTACAATAGAGAAAACATCTTCCCTGTATCTTAGCACCAAATCGCATACCTGCAATATATATTCACATTCATGTTGCGAGTAGTCTGATTGCATAATAGTAGCAGCAGAATTTACTGACCACCAGGGCACATGTTAAGTCATTTTGAACTATTTTTCACGTTAAACAGCCTCCTGCTTACCTGTAATAAACAGAGAAAACTCTTAACGGCATGAGACCAGATGTTCATTGTAATCACAGTCCTGCCAGAAACAAAGTGTTAGACTTTCAGTTCCCCCCTTCTGTGTCCTATTATAAACATGATGTAGTTCTGCCATCTTGTGGTGATACAATAAAAATGCAATCACTAGTATTTTCTATTGACAAAAATAGTTTACTGTTAGATTAGGTATTAGGCTTTGGATTTTAATTTTATGGGGCTGCCTAATTTCTACACCTCTTACACTCTCCCCCACAAATTTTTATGACATACGCAGAATCTTATTAAGAAAACATTCTTTTACTTGTCTTGTAGTTACCATAAAAAGCCAAGGGTAGATAGTAATCAAATTACTTGAGGCAACATCCACCCTGTGACATCTACTCCCTATTACATCACAGCTTCCCACCAGGCCCACAGCGCTATAGTACCTGGCAAGATATAGTTGAGTGTAACCAACTATTTACTAAAACCCCTCTCTATACATATTTGTATAAGTTACTAAGTTTAGACAAAGGTGATGAGAAAACTAGGGAACATTTTATTACTTTTATACCTTTTTTTTTTTAATTTTTATATCATAATGGCAGGATACCTATTGTACATCGACAATGCAGCATAACGTTGCCACCGATTGCTCTCTACTTTTTTTCAGCCGACTCTGTTTGTAACATCTAGTTCCCTCACCTAAAAACTGTTTCTGCTTGACCTACAATATCTGCAGTACAAATGCAATAAAATTTTTCTTTACTTTAACCAACAGAAAAGTAAACATATAATTATTCTGGTTTAGGTATATTAACTTTGGTATAGGGTGTCCCAAATAGTAAACAGTGGATCTATAGACATAATCTCTTCTACCAACTTCTATAGTCTTTCAGCAAAACATTCTGAACTGAAATACCAGCTAGAGTCAACAGGTAATGTAGGAATATACTGTCTATGACTTGTATAGATGAAACTCTGGTAACACTACTGGGTTGACCTAAAGTGTCATATGTCTCCTGTTCCTGTAGGGTTGTATTCTACATTGAGGAAGCGAATCTGAAAGGTCCTCATTCTCCTCTACATCACTTTCAACAAGCTGTGCTGTGTTCTCTGTTGCTGGGCATTCTTCTTCTGTACCTCCAAATGCATACTCAGTTTGTTCAATTTGATCTATAGACTCAATCTCTGTGACACCTTCTAAATCATACTCACGTACCGCCAACTGATGTGCGTAGAACTCAGTAGCTTCTTGGTTTAGCTCTTTACTTTCCTCTGGGTGGTCATGCTGGGTGACTGGGATGAAAGCTCTCCAGTGTCTTTGTTCGTGATCTGATTCATTTTCTGATTCTCCCTCGGATGTCTGTGTAGATTGTTGAGTTGTATTTCGATCCTTCCCTTGCTTCCTTGCACTGGTTCTTTTGGGTATCTTTTGACCTTGGTTAACAGGTAGATAATCACATGGTAATAGTAAGTTGTGATGTAAAATCCTTGTTTTCCCTTTCCTTCCTGTTTCTGGTTTGATTTCATACACTGGACTGTCTGCACACTTCTTTTTAAGAACAACATGTATGGTATCTTCCCAAAATGATCTCAATTTTCCTGGACCTCCTCTTTCGGTACAATTTCTAACTACAACTTTGCTACCAGGTGGAAGTTCAGCACCATGAATTTTCTTGTCATAGTGTTCTTTTCCTACCTCCCTGTGCAGCTTGAGTAGCTATTTTTGAAGCAACCTTATAGGCCTCAGTCATTCTATTTGTCCATGTGTTCATAAATTCAGAGTAGGTCTTGTATTTTTCAGTTACTGGAGTGTCAAACATACTATCAATGGGTAGTCTTGGAGACCTTCCAAACAGTAGGAAGAATGGAGATTGTCCTGTAGCTTCACTTTGAGTACAATTATATGCATGGATTACCTTTGCCAGTGAATTTTTACAGTCCTTTTTGGAATCTGGTGACAGGGTACAAAGCATTGATAGCAGGGTACGATTAAATCTTTCAACTTGCCCATTACCTTCTGGGTGGTATGACGTTGTGTGAGAATTGTGAATGTGGCAGTGCTTCCTTAATGTAAAAAACAAGTGATTTTCAGACTCTCTACCCATATCATGGTGAATTCTGGTAGGAAATCCAAATTTTCAAGACAAAATCATTGAATATATTTTGTTGGCAACTGTTTTTGCAGACTTCTTGGTTGCATATGCCTGAGCAAATCTTGTAAAATGATCGGTTACCACTAAGATATACTCATATCCACCTTTACAATTCTCAAGATGATGAGAAAGTCAGTGGAGACCATCTCAAAATGTTGTCACAATATTGTTCAACGGGGCCTGCACAGGCTTATTTGGCCGTTTGTCTTTCAGACAAGTTCATTGACGTGTGATGTAATGCTCAGTGTCCCTTTGCATATGTGGCCAAAAGAATCTTTCTCTGATTAAATTTACATTCCTTTCTACTCCTAAGTGTCCCATCTCTTCATGCAACTCCTTCCATACTAAAGTGATTGTACAACTAGTTGAGAACCAGATGATGTTTTCCGTCTCAAAATTTCATCGTCATCGAGATAAAGTTTGGTCCATTGTTTCATAAGTGTGAAAAGATCAACAGGTTCAACTTGTCATTCCTGTTTGGATGGAAACTTGTTTTGGCTCTTGTACTTTCATACTTGTCCAATCACAGGGTCTTTCTTTTGTGCGGTTCTTATTGTCTCTTTTGGTATTTGAGTTACCTTTTTTTGGTGCCGCATCTGTTGTTGTAGTTGTATTGACAATTGTCATTGGACATAGCCAAGGTATCCTTTCTTTTTGATGTGCTTGAATTGCTTGGGTTATGCAAGTGATGACTTTGGGGTCTACTTCTTGTGAACATTGTTGCATGTATTGTTCAGGACTCAATGGCATACGAGAAAGTTCATTTGCATCAGCATTCCTTCTTCCGGGCCGATATTTAATAGGGAAGTTGAAGTCAGCTAGTTCTGCAACCCATCGATGGCTTGTTGCATTCAATTTTGCTGTAGTGAGGACATAGGTTAGTGTGGGATTGTTGTCAGTATATACCACAAATAATGGACAATAATATAGGTAATCTCGGAATCTATCACATATTGCCCACTTCATTGCTAGAAACTCGAGCTTCCCTGAATGCATATGGTAGTTTTTCTCAGCAGCTTTGAGAATTCTAGACCCATAAGCAATCACCTTTAGTTTCTCCTCCTGCTCTTGGTATATAATATGGCTCCTAGCAGGGGCGGACTGACCATTTGGAAACTTGGGCACTGCCCGAGGGCCCAGGGTCAGTAGGGGGCCCCATGAGATGCCCCTGTTACCTTTTTCATAGGCTTTTTTTGAGTTTGGGCAAGGACACAGGGGCCCCATGATCCCCTCTTGCCTGGGGGCCCCATGAGTTGTCAGTCCGCCCCTGGCTCCTAGTCCTTCTTGCGAGGCATCATAGTGAAGAACAAAGGGTTTGGAATAATCGGGGTAACCCATAACTGGAGGATGAGTTAACACTTCAGTGAGCTGATTCAGTACTACCCGATGATGGTCAGTCCAGGCTATAGACTAATAGAATGGAAGTTGACCTCTTGACTTGGGATTGGTTTCCTTTTCTTCTTTGTCTGGTTAGCAGGTGTTGAGGTTGTGGTAGGTGTCAAACCTGCTGACAATAATTCATAGAGAGGTTTGGCAATTCTGGAGAAGTTTTGAACGTAAGGGCGATAGTAGTAGGAAATAAATCCTAATAGTTTCCTGAGTTCTCCGACACAGTCTTTGGTTGTTTTATTTCTTAAGGCAAGGACAGGTGCCGTGTTTGCGGGTCCATAGAGTGGCCTTCTTTTGACACAATCTTGCTCAGGAATCTGACTTTATTTTGAAAAAGTTCACACTTCCTGGCTGTTAATTTGACTCCGTGTTGTTAACGTTGGAGTACTGACCAGACATGCTCCACATGCTCCTGGAAAGATTTGCTATGGACGAGGTTGTCATCTAAGTATGGCAGGCAAATCTCATCTCTCGGTCTCATTAAACATGTCTCCATACTGCGTTGGAATTCGGCTGGTGCAAAGCTCAGACCAAAGGGTATTGTGTACCCATTCATACAAACCCCAAGGTGTAATGAATGCTTTCAATGGTCGACTGACTTCTTCCACAAATCCTTGATGTGTGCTTTCCCCTGGTCTAGCACAGAAAACCATGAACTTCCTCCTAGTCTGTCCAGCATGTCTTGGATGCTAGGAATTGAATGACGGTCAGGAATGGATTTCTGGTTAAACTCTCATTAGAGGGCGTGGTCAGTATGGCGGCTGGAGCCATTTGTCAACATTGAACTCCTGGGCTCGGTTGAGCAGTGTCCATCCCTTCACTCATATGGAAATATATACTTATATAAAGTATAAGTTTATGTTTATTTGGGGAAATACATATAGTCAGTGCAGTGTGTTTGAGATAATAGTGCCAGATCACATCCTTATAAAGTCTTATGCTCCATTCACAGTAGTGCAATTTCATATGCATAGTTTTGGCCTGACTGCTCTGAAAACTGCTCCCTCCAATACCTATGCTTACTAACCTGTATAAATAATGATATAAAAAGATGTACTGTATATACTTACCTATTTCTGAGCCATTCCAGTCTGGTCAGGTGATCTGGCTCCCCTGTTTCAGCCAGCGTAGCTGCAGGGGAAAAGAGAAGGCACCAACAACAGATGGACCATTGAAAGCCTATGGGTGAAGTCATCACTCCAGGTCTTAGTAGCCATATTAGATTTTTTAAGAGTTGTTGGAGTTAAGCTGGAATTCCATTTTAATGACTTAAATAAGGGGCAGTTTCACCCCCTTTCTGCCGAGGCCAATTTTCAGCTTTTATCACTGTCATGCTGTGAATGACAATTGCGCGGTCATGCAACACTGTACCCATATTAAATTTCCCCAAAAAATGGTCCCTCCTTTTTGGAAACCAGACAGTCCAGGGTATTTAGTAAGAGGAATGGTGATTTTCTTGAAGTTGTCATTTATTTTGTCACAATTGTTTGGGAAAATGAAGAAGAAAAAAAATTTAAAAAAATTGTTTTTTTCTCACAATTTTCTTTTTTACATAATGTCACTAGTGCAGTACAGCATCATCATATGACTGGTGTGGTGGTGATCAGGGACACTGACTGGTGACAGTATGTGTTTAAAAAATGTTTAATGTTTTCTCATTTTTTAATTTTGTATATTTTTTTTTTTCTTCTTTTTATAAGTGTGACCAGAACAATATATTGTTACTATAGTAACATTTTACTACTCTGGGAAAGTGATCAGGATTTTTTTTTTCACATTATGATTGCTTATACTGTACCAGTGAATTTCACTGGTACAGTATAAGCAACCATTTTTACTGAATGAATATGATTCATTCAGCGATTTTACTATTGTGGTTGTGATTGGCCACATCTAATCACATGGTACAAAATGGGCTGTGATTGGCCCTATCTGTACCATGTGATCACTGTGACCAATCACTGAGATCAAGAAAATATTACTCCAGTAGAACACCATCCATTGTGTACAATAGTCATGTTATCTGCTGTGATTGGTCACAGCAATCACATGGTACCAGCAACGGGTGACGCCTCAGTTCATGGGGCACGTGCGAGGACAGTTCCAGGAGGACATCATATGACGTCCACCCGGAACAACAAATGTCCTGCGCAGTGGTCATTTGACAATAGGGCAGGTGGGAAGTGGGTAAAGTCTGTGCTTCATACAGTCGGCACTGTCCCATTACAGGTACTGCTGGAGTGACTTGCCATCTATATACTGACCACTATGGTACCAAACCTATAGTATTTTTTTAATGAATATGAGGTGTTTTCTGATTATGCAAGGCAAAGAAGAGGGGCAGATGATGTCACAATTGCCTCCTCGTCCAACCAGGGAATTCTTTGCAGTCACTGCAAAAATATAAGGCATTAGCTGAAAGGTGGGGGTACGGGAGCAAGCAACTTCCTGCTCCTCCAGCTGCACCAAGGCATTAGCTGAAAGGTGGGGGTACGGGAGCAAGCAACTTCCTGCCCCTCCAGCTGCACCAAGACATTAGCTGAAAGGTGGGGGTATGGGAGCAAGCAAATTCCTGCTCCTCCAGCTGCACCAAGGCATTAGCTGAAAGGTGAGGGTAAAGGAGCAAGCAACTTCCTGCTCCTCCAGCTGCACCTGGATGTTGGCCCACTGGATGTGACACATATATAATTATACGTAACCAACCTGACCCAACGTAAGTTTAAAAAATAGATTTTTTTTTAATTACAATTCCCTGTATGGGTGATCAGTGAGAAGTGTCTTGGAAATTCGCTTTCAATGAATTTTCCTTACCGTGAGTGCCCGCAGTTGGATGCGCAGTAATCCCCCATAAAGCTGTGCAAACTTTGCTGCAACCGTATTGCACCCTCCGCTTACCGCGACTGCAGCTTAGCTCCACAATTCCTGCGCCTCCAACCAGTGTGCAAAGGTTTTTAGCTCTTTTGAGATGTGGGGAAATGGAGCTCCAATAATCCAGGAATAAATCAGACGATACTCCCAGGTTAAAGTTGGAATCCACTCTGCCTGGGTCTAACACCAGACTCCTGTTTTTATTATCTTACAAAACACACCCCCGCATGGGGCCAAGTCAATCCCCTCCCACAGAACAATGTATAGGGAGTGTCCATACACGAGAATGTCCATCCTGCTCAGAGTGCAAAGTTCCCTCTTAACCTATACTAAAAAAACAGTTTTTTTCCAGTTTTCTTGTCCTCCCCCCGTAAGCTCGTCTTGGAGAGCGAGTTTTCACATTATTTACATGCTTATCAGATCCCACTGCAGTATGTATATTGTCTGTACAAGCATCCCTTAGATTAAAAACAGTGCCAGTCTGTATCTGAATGGGCTCGATAAGATTTTATTAAACACATCCATCCAGATACAGTTTCAGGTCGGTAGCGGCTTGTAGAGTTGTACATGAACCTACACGCGGAGTTCGCACTGTCTGGCGCCTGGCCATACAAGAGTTCCATGTGGTACTATGCTGCTGATATGTGGAATTCTGGCACCGCGGCGCGCACTACCGCCGGAGGGCATATTAGCCCATCGAATACCGTGGTGGGCATACACAGCCGAGTACTTATAAGCGCAGATCTGGCCATCTCATCCATTACCGAGCTGAGTACTGTAATTATTTAATTGTAAATGCGCATGGCCCTTTAATTGCGACCTTCAGAGCTTTAATTAAGGCCTCACGAAGAGGACATATGAATAACCACTGATTATATGTCATATTTAATTGTACAACCTGTAATAGGAAATATTTCCATGACATTTCCTCCTGTTTTGATCATATTCTCCTCGTGTCCCTTCTTGATTCTTCTTCAGCTTGATGGGTGTAGTCTCAAAACCTTAAAAGAGTAGGTCTTATAGACCAGAGTTCCTGTAGTTTGTCCATGAGGAGTAAAGCTCCTCGGGGGTACCTGAACAAGATCCGACGCCAGACTCTACGCAATCAGGGCATGATTGAAGCTATGATCCTCAAGAGCGTTGGACGCCTTCCCATTTACAGGAAGGCTCTTGCAAAAAAAAACCACAAAACATGAAAACTTTTTCAAAACTGTTCCGGCAAATAGAACCAGACTTGTGGATATAAACAAGCTTTGTGATCCCCACGGTGGGTACGAGGGGAATTAGCTCGCAGCTAGATTCTCAAAAGTTCCCCTGCAAAAACGGGGCGTCCACACAAGGTTGGTCTCAAACCCAGACGGTTTTCCAAATGGCGGGGAAACAATCAAATTCTTTGGCAGCTTTATACACAAAAACAACGATGAGGCTTGAAGCTTGCTTGGAGGTTCTTGGGAGGACCATGGTCTTCAGGGAGATCAAATAGAGGGGAAAAGCCAGGACGTAACCTTGCAGAGCATGGTTGGCTGGTTGGTCGAGGTCTTCCTACGATCAGTGGTTGGATAGGGGCTCCCAGGAGCGGGCATGGAGATGTGGTCCGTCTGCCCGAGCTAGGCTTACACGGTTTGATGAGGGCAACAGGAACATCTCACCGCAGCATACAAGAGGCAAAGTGAAAACAGAGTGAAAGCATCAAGGACATACACTCCCAATTTCCTTCAACCAAGATCCGTTGGGGTGAAAGCGAGGACGCATGTGGCCGAAGATACTCCAGTCTCCATTGATGTCATACGCGAGATGAATAGCGTCCCCCAAGTGATTCCTCTACCTCCCAGCTACACGCACTCTTGCAACTAGCAGCCTAAGCTCTCGTCCTCTTGTAGCTTCACTCTAGTCTCACGACTTTGTCGCATACTCACCGATGGGCCTGGACCTATGTCTATCGTTTTTGTTTGTGTCTTCTTATACAGGCTACTAAACAATCCACCTCCGATATCAACTCACAGAACCCCCCTTTGGTGGCCTAAAAGGTAATCATAGGGCCATTCTTCTCCTGAAGCACTAAAATTCCATCTGCCGTTTTTTTACCGTTTTGTTCTTGGGCAATTTCTCTGATAGGCCTCTACGGTCTCGTTTTAAACATACTATCCACGATGACAAAACAAAAAAAACAAAA